AACCCAGGTCAGCGCAGCCCTGTCTCTGCAGGATCCTGAAAGATCCGGCGCCCTGGCTGAACCCCATTTGCATAGACCGTCTGCCACCCGTCTGACACCCGTCTTCTGAGCCCCGACAAGATTCATGCACGTGTACGGCCCAGATCCGGGGAGGAAGCACCGAGTGCTGGGCGCAGGGAGCGGCGCGCCTGCAGGTGAGCAGAAGTCCAGGAAGGCCCCCGTCGAATCCACAGAAGTCCAGGGGAGGGAGCAGCAACAAAAGGACCCCCAGCCCTTTGGGAGGGGACCTTAGTGAGGAGGGCCCACAAACATTCGGGATTAGGGTCTGTTCTGTGCGGATGTATCCGTCAGGGAGACGGAAGGCTCGGGTTTGGGGACTCGGGTTGGCCTGACAGGGGCCATCATGAAAATGAAGGGACCCAGTCTGAAATTTGACGCGATCTCCCGCTGCACGATTCCACGAAAGCCGGACCGTCAAAATCCAGGACGCGCTCGTGAAAAAGCGCCGGCAACCCCGGGCTCTGGCGTAATCACCCGAGCCTCGCGTTTCCCTGAGTCGGGCCAGACCGCCCAGATCTACGAGTGTGTGTATATATGTATAGATATATATCCCTGGTGCCAAGACGGGGACCTCAGTGAGGACACGTCCTCACTGTGCTATGAGGGTTCGGGGTTCGCTTGTTCTCGATGGGGGGGGCTGCTTGCTCGGGCACTGTCGCTGCCGCGGCAGCCCCCCGTCACGTGCGCCTCCGTCCGTGGGCCTCCGGGACCTCGCGACGAGGAGGGCGGCGGAGGGAGCCCCTGCAGCCCTCCCCCCCGGCCTGGCTAGCGCGCGCCCGCGCGCCGCACTCAGGAAGACAAGAGAATCGGGCTCGGAGCCGGGGCCTGGGAGAGATGACCAGATCGTCCGTGCCATCGTGCATGTCGAGCGTGCGTATTACACAGTCGTGCCCCGTATCCTCCCAGCCCCATCCTCCCAGCCCGATGATTGGCGTCCTGGCGCACGCATGCCCCCGCGCGAAATCTCGTGGGCACTGCTATATCCTCCTTCCCTCCTCCACCTCCCTCCCGACGCAGCCCGGTTGGGGACCCACTCCCTGAAAACGCTTCCCAATCCTTCAATGAAAGGATTTCGTTCTCCCCCCCCCCCCCCTTCCTCCTGCTCCTCCGCATCCTGCCTCTTTCCCTCCTCCTCCTCCTCCTCCTCCTCCTCCTCCTCCTCCTCCTCCTCCTCCTCCTCCTCCTCCCCTTCACCGTCATCCTCATCGTGGCCTCCCTCCTTCTTGTGCACCACACCCTCGCCCTCCTCCTCAGTCCGACTCTCCCTCCAACTCAGGCCTCACCCCTTCTCATCCCTCCTCGCCCTTCTCGTCCCGTCATGCTCACCTCCTGCTCCTTCACGCCCTCGCTCTTCCCCCTCCTCCCGGGCGGCGGCTGCGACGAGCACGAAGGCGGCGACGAGCCCGACGGACGAGGAAGCACGACGCCACAGCGTAGGACGGCGACGCCGCCAGCCGAGGTCCCAGATCTCCCCAGCCTTGCGACAAGGCCAAAGCTTCGAGAGGAGGAGGGGCGGTTGAATGGGAGGAGGAGGAGGAGGAGGAGGAGGAGGAGGAGGAGGAGGAGGAGGGAGGAGGAGGGGGAGGAAGGAGGAGGAGGAGGAGGGAGGAGAGGAGAGAAGGAAGAAGAAGATGAGGAGAACGAGGGAGGACGATGTGAGGAGGATGCGGAGTACAAGGGGATGGGGGAGGACAAGAGGAGGATGAAGGTGCAGGGGTGGTGGAGGATGGGGGGGAGGAGGAGGAGGAGGAGCAGGAGGAGGAGGAGGAGGAGGAGGAGCAGGAGGAGGAGGAGGAGGATGAACAAGAGCATGAGGGGGAAGAGGGAAGGGGAGGAGGAGGAGGAGGAGGAGGAGGAGGAGGAGGAGGAGGAGGAGAAGGGAGGAGTAGGCCAAGGGATCCTGAATCTGTCCTGGCCTCCAGCCCCGAGAAAAGAGCCCGACCCTCGAGCGGCACCCCCTCGATCCTCGAGCGTCGACCCTCGAATGGCGACCCTCGCGCCTCGGCGTCGCCCCGCGAGCGCCTACCCTCGAGCGCCGAGCCTCGAGCGTCGACCTTCGAGCGCCGCCCCCGTCGCTCGGGAGAGCCCCGAGCAGGCCTCGACGCCTCGATCTTCGACGCCCGAAGGCGGCGGCGACGACGGCGACGAGCGCGCGAAGCGGCGGCGACGGCGGCCGCCGTCGATAGTCGTCGTGGCCGTCGATCGTCAATGCCGTCGTCGTCGTCGTCGTCGTCGTCGTCGTCGTCGTCGTCGTCGTCGTCGTCGTCGTCGTCGTCGTCGTCGTGGTCGTCGCTGTCGTCATCGTGGTCGTCGTCGTCGTCGGCGTCGTCGTCGTCATCGTCGTGGTCGTCGGCGTGGTCGTCGTCGTCGAGGTCGTCGGCGTCGTGGTCGTCGTCGCCGTCGAGGTCGTCGTCGTCTTCGTCGTCGTCTTCGTCGTGGGCGTCGTCGTCGTCTTCGTCATGGGCGTGGTCGTCGCTACCAGCGTCGCCGTCGCCGCTGACAGCGTAGTCTTCGTGTTCGCAGTCGCCGGTGTCGTTGGAAGAGGTAATAGGGGGGGGCCCAGCCATTCCTCGAGGGATCCGGCACTCTGACATACAAATTCGTCGCCGTCTCCTTCTCCGCCTCCTCCTCGGAAAGCTAACGGCTGTCTCCCGCTGATCCACTGCAGTTTGCTATACTTCCTGGACCAGGTCAACCCGCATCGGGATCGCGTCTCGATGGCTGGTGGGGGCACGCGAAGCGTCAACAATTCGCTCTTCTTCGCTGGTGTCGTCGAGGTCGTCGTCGTCGTCGTCGTCGTCCTCGTCGTCGTCGTCGGCGTCGTCGTCGTCATCGTCGTGGTCGTTGTTGTCGTCGTCACTTGTCGTCGTCGTCGGCGTCGTCGTCGTCGTCGTCGAGGTCGTCGGCGTCGTCGTCGCCGTCGTCGTCGGCGTGGCGCTACCAGTGTCGCCGTCGCCGCTGCCAGCGACGTCGTCGGCGTCGTCGTCGTCGGCGTCGTCGTCACTCGTTGTCGTCGTCGTCGTCTTCGGCTCCGCCTTCGTCTTCGTCGGCGTCGTCCCCAACGTCGCCTTCGTCATCGCCTTACTTCTGGCGCAACGGCGGAGCTGGCGGCCGAACCCGCCCGCCCCGCGCGCGCGGCGCCCCCCTCACGGCGCTGCCTCCACCGGGCTCGTCAGCCGCCCGATCCTCGGAGGGAGCTTGGCAGGAGGGTGTCTCCAGATCTCGCTGATGAGTCTTGGCTCTGCATTGATCCTCGTCTTCCTCCTCCTCCTCCTCCTCCTCCTCCTCCTCCTCCTCCTCCCCCTCCTCCTCCTGCTCCTCCCCTCCTCCCTTTGCCTCCTCCCCTTCTCCTCCTCTTCCTCCTCCTCCTCCTCCTCCCTCCTCCTCCTCCTCCTCCTCCTCCTCCTCCTCCTCCTCCTCCTCCTCCTCCTCCTCCTCTTCCTCCTCGTCCTCGTCCTCGTCCTCGTCCTCGTCCTCGTCCTCCTCCTCATCTTCCACCTCCGCCTCCTCCGCCTCCTCCTCCTCCTCCGACAGCCGGCTCCAAGAGGCCGCGGCCGCTGGCCCGCGCTCTTGCGGCGGCGGCCCGACGGCGAGGCTGACCCCAACTCCAGGGAGCCCACAGAGGACGTACGCCCGTACGCCCACCCCAGCCGCGTGACATGAAAACTCGCGCCATGCGCACTCTCGAAACCAGCGTGGATTCATGTACGTGTACTGAGTATCGCTTATCCGATCCCCATCCCCAAGTGGCGTGGCCTGGGCCCCATTGGCCGATTTATACCACTTCTGATGGGGATACAGGTCGTTCCCTTCGGGTTTCGAAGGGTCTATCCCCAACTGGGGTGGTAACTTGGGGGGGGTCTCGAAGGGGATGGGGATGGAGATGGTGATCGGTAAACGATACCGACGTACGTCCTGCTTTCGCGCCTGAAGCTCGGAGCCCTCGGAGCGGCCCGTCTCGGGTGCCGCGGCGCGCCGCCTTCCCAGGGAGGCCGCCGCCTCTGCCCGGGACGCCCTGCGGGGAGGCACGTCGGCGCGAAGCGGGTGCACGAGAGGGGGGGGGGGGGGGCAGGGCGGCCAGGGGGCGGTGCCGAATCCGAGGGCTGCAGCGAGGCTCCAGCCGGAGCGTGGGAGAGACTTTAGGGGCGACGTCCCGGAGCTCCCCTCGACTACACGCAAGGGTGACCCTGGGTAAGAATGACCTCTGGTGCGCGGTTTCGGTTTTCTGGGGGCCGCGGGGGGACCAAACACGAGCGCGCAAGGCGCTACCACCGCATCGCGTTCGGCGTTGGGGGACCCAATTGGGCCCGCACCAACGGTCACTCTGGCGAAAGGTCACCCTTACGTGCAGCCGATTCCCTGGAGGACGAGGTGGCCTGGGGCCGTGTTGGCCGAGCTGATGAGGCTGGAACACGGCTTCCCGGTCTGTACCAAGTGAACAACCGATCCAAACGAAGCCTTGTCCCTCGGAACAACATGGCTTCTGTGGCATCCTCGGGAGACCTTGTCTGTCCCGTCGCGGCCCTATCCGCGTCGAATCCGTGTCGAATGAATGTCTGACTCGTCGGGTCCCTGTCGAGTCTGCCGCAGATGCAACGTAACGAAATCTCGTCCCACGGAGCAGCCTGGCTCGAGGCCTGAGGAAGCCAGACGGCACGAGGAAAGGGGGTGGCTCACGAGCTCAAGAGCGCTGGATTGGGCTACAGATGTTGGGGCTCAGTTTAACATCCTCCCCTCGAGCCTCGACCCCCCAAGCTTCAGGGAGCTCTGGGGAGGTAGAGTGGGTTCAATGAAAGGCAGCTGTAAGCGGGGGAGGAAGAGGACGGGAAGGGGGGAGGGGTAGGGGATCTCACACGCATCCTGCGCGCCACGGTCTGCGACGAGGAGGACAGAGCGGAGCACAAGAAGAGAGCAGCAAGACGAGCGCGGAGCTGGAGCACCAGAGGCGCGTCTGGTTCTGGTTCTAAGACTCCGCCTGGGGCAGCCCTCGGTCGCCTTCAGGAGACGGGAAAGGGAGGACGACGGCCGGGCCCGAAGGGGGAGGTTAGCACTGACGCCCTCTCGAGAGCTCTCAGACCAAGCACAATCTCTCGCAAGACGGATACCGTCAGCGCCACACGACGCCCATCCAAACGGACTGGCCGAGACGTCAAGAACCGCCAAATTATAGACCGATGCAAAGCGCAGAACATCGTTGGCAGTATTGTCACGTGTTAGCCGCAGAATAAAGCATTCACACCAACCCCTCGGACCCACCCTTTGAAAACTTCCGAGTCGCTGATCTTTTTTTCCTCGGCAAGCACAGCAACATCGTACAGTACAGCAACCATCATGAACGGCCATCGACGATAGAACGAAACAACAAACAAGCAGCGACGCTTCCATGCAGGGGCGCTGTGGTAGTGGCTCTGTTCATGTGGCACGATGTCCCAACACCTCCCGTTATGACGGTGCTAGGTTCCAGCATGGCATAGGAATGACGAGAACACATCAGACGAGACGTTTCTAGCAATGGATGTGTCCCCGCACGCATGACAAAAGGTGAGGGGCAGCGGAGGAGTAACAGCCGCCCCTGGAGCCAGGGACCGAATGGCCGATAGATCCCTGACGTTCGGAACCACACGTCCCGAGGCCAACATGCCCCGCCGACTTGTCCAGCTGCCAAACTAGTTGTGCATGCTCGCGTTGTCCAGGTCTTGCCCAACGCTCTGTTGCAAAAGCGTTGCAAGAAATCTGTGTAAACAAAGCGATTGGCTGCATTTCGGGAACCGTTGCCAGATTGATCCTGAAGCAAGGCGCACTGCCAACACGCTGCGCACCCACTGTTGTGAGTATGCTGTTCTATGGTGCTGCTTATGACGATGGTGGTCGTATGCTGCCAGGGGGCGAATACACTTACACCTAACACAGAAACTATCCATCGCCGCGTTCGCACTCTGTCCAGCCAGGTCTTGTCCAACGCGGCGCAGCGCACAGGGATCGTCACAGCAGGGCAGATGGCTGGTCCTCGTCGTCCGAATCAATGTCATCATCCTCTGAGTCAGACGACTCCGCTCGCATGAGATCGCACACCTCCCCTGAATCAACATCTTTACAATGCCACGTTCCCTTCGTCGTAATCCTTGAACTCTCTGTGAGCATGCTGGCGAAAATGAGCGGAATGGTGACCATCAAATCTGCGTAAAACAGCGCGGGGCCAGCAAGATACGGAGACGTCAATGCGGCATAGTGCCGCCCTGGGCCAAGGAATAATACTATTGCAGGCCCATCAAGGATACCGAAGACTAGTCCCACAAACCACCCCCAAACCCCGTGCCTGGTGGTTGCAATCCATGTTGACGTTGATGCCACAGTCGCCGGGAACAACTGGCAGATGTCATAGGAACAATGGGGGTCCGTCAGAGAAAGACACCAAACGCCCAGACCGTAAACAACAAACGACCACAACCACACGAATGCCAACAAGATGGCAACATCTCGCCATGGTTTTGATGAGAAGCATACGTGGCCCCACCCATAGGCGACGCAGAGTAGAGGACCTGCGACAAAGATTTGAACCTCGATGGTCGGTGACAGGGCAGTGGCCAGACGCCCCGCTGCATACAATAAGAAGAACAAGAAAGGTAACTTCCACCTGAGGTCCGCAAGCAAGATGGCCGCGAACAGGGCAATTGATGTCAAGGTCATTCGCATCTGGTAGTCCACGCAGCCACCGTTGTAGGTATCTGGCATGCCTTGGCACAGCGGCAAAAAAGGCGCATCGGTCATTCACCTGTGCCCCACAGTATCGAGGAGAACAGGGATGTCGGCTGTCTGGAAACTGATGCCTCAGCCGAGCAGCCGGAGCCAGGACGGCCTGAATTGATATGGCTACGGATGGTGGCGGTGTCCGAGGTCCAACAGTGGAGGCCCGACCACAAGAAACCTTCCACCATCAACCCAGCCCTGAATCCCCAGGAAGTCCACCACTGTTTTTTTGGTGTGGGAACGCCGCGCCTCCCACAGCAAAACCCCAAACCATCGACACCCAAGAAACCCGGGGCGCCCTGGAGGCAAGCAGGGTGCCTCTTGGCATGGGCCCCCACTGCAAGCACTGATGGTGACAACGATGACTGCTGACATGCTGCCAGGGGGGGGGGGGAGACATCTCGGGCCTCCCGCGGCCGCGGACACCCACCTCCGCACCCGCAGGCGGCCCGCACGCCCACCCGCAGCGAGGGCAATGCATCCGGGCCGCGGGCGAGCCCGCAGCCGCCGCCGCAGCGAAGGAGTTTCGGGGGAAGCGGACGGGCGGGAGAAGCGTTTCACCCCCCCCCCCCCGCGTGGGGTAGGGGGGGCCTCGGGGGGAGATGGCCCCTTTCCCTGCTCGCGCCCAGAAGGGCTGGCGGGATCTCCAGGGGGTCGATCGCTCGGACGCTCGCGCGGCGGCTGCCCGCGGAAGGTCGCGCGCGAGCGCCGTCCTGTCCTCGCGGTCTGCGTGAGCCACCGCGCAGGATCGCAGGATCGCCGCGCGGGTCGCGCAAACGAGTGCCTTCTCTTGGGAACAGTCGTCGGGGCCATTTGGAAGCCCTTCGGTTTCCTTTACGCTCTCTGGGAGCCTGTCTTCGGGCCCTCTTGGCAGCCCTCGTCGGCCCGATTTCGAACCCTACGGGGGTGTCCGGGGGCCCTCCAGATATCGCTTGTGTCATCGTCTGAGGCTCTTTGCGACCAAACCAGGGCCCTATCAGATCAGTCAGCATCACCACAAGCAACACCAGCAGTATCAGCAGTACCAGCCTCATCATTATCACCATCACCATCAACACCATCACCAGCATCCTCCTCCTCCTCCTCCTCCTCATCCCCCTCCTCCTCCTAATCATCAGCATCATCACCATCATCATCACCAACATCATCACTCATCATAATCAGCATCAGCATCAGCACCATCATCATCATCAGCATCAGCATCAGCATCAGCATCAGCATCACCATCAGCATCATCAACATCATCGTCATACCCTAATCATCATCCTAATCCGTACGTGTATCGCTATCTTCATCTGCATCAGCATCATCCTTCTCATCGCCCCTTATTTTTATTCATTATCAATATCAGTATCATCGTCATGAGGATCATCATTGTCATTGTCGCCATCATCATCAACATCATCATCGTAATCACCATCGCCTCCGTCATCATCACAGACACCACTACAACGGCAATATCGTCTGATTCCTCCGCCGCCCGCGAAATTACTATCATCACCACCATTGGCACCACCGCCAGCACGTCGACAATAGGCGCTACCCTCATGGACATGTTTACTATTCGTTTCATATTTCGTTACCGCTGTGGCCAGATTGTTGTCGGCAGTTCTCCGCAGGGGCGTTGCATCGGGAACTGCCACTTCTACGCTGTTGCCTTTGATGGATCCACCGTCAACGCAACATCATCGCGCTATGACGGCGATGCTGCTATGGAAGCGTGAAAAGAACGGTGGGAATAGGATAAACGAGGATGACGATACGGAAAATATGATGAAGCTAATGGTGCCAACGCTGGTGACGGCCATGGTGGTTGTGTTGCACTCATGCTGCATATCAGATCCCGACCCCTCGGAAAATTATCAAACTGGTGATGGGGAGTACCCGGCAACACTTTCGCCGCGTAACGGATAATTGCCAGAGTGCGCTTTGCGCCATTCACCCCCGTCCTCCCCAATAGGCGTCGCCACACCAAAGGATATACGCCGACATGGGAGCTATTCGCAAGCTGGTTCCCCCAAATAGCCTCCAAGCGCGCCGTGACACCGTCCAGTGCGTTCTCAGACCCCCCCAGGACGTCTCCCGAAAGCCCCCAAGGCGGCCCAGAGACGGCCAAAAACATTCCCAAGGCAGCCCTGGACGGCGACGACGACGACGACGACCACGCCGACGACGACGCCGACGACGACGACGCCGACGACGACGCCGACGACGACGACGCCGACGACGACGATGCCGCCGCCGCCGCCGACGATCCGAGGATCCCAACGATCCCCAAGACGCCGACGCCAAGACGCCCCAAAGCAGGTCCAACAGTCCGAAGACACCGCAAAGACGACCCAACGGTCCCCTTCAAAACGACCCAATGGAGGCTCCTCTGCTTCAGGCCAGGGCGAGGAGGAGGAGGCAAAGGAGGAGGGATGACGGGTAGGGGAAGGAAGATGCGGACTCAACAAATAGATGGACTGAACGAGTGCCTTTCGTGGTTCATGGAATACCGACTGGACGAGAACATGCTTAGCATCGGAGGGGGTCTAGGCTTGAAGGATTCTCGCCTGGGAAAGAAGGAGAGAGGATGACAGAACGAGGAGGACGAAGAGAAGGAGGATGAGGAAGAGGGGGACTCGAAACGGCTGGGGGGGGGGGTGAGGGATGAGACGGCAGGGCGGGGAGAGTGAGAGGGAGCAGAAGCAGGCCGAGCAGCGAGGAGGACACGGCAGAGGGAGCAGGACGAGAAGGTTCTTTAACATAGAATCCAAAAGGTCTGGACCCCTTCACGGGGACCAGTTTCTCATCCGGAGTCGTTCTTTGACGGCCCCGAGGCCCAGGGAGGACCCCCAACGGCCGAGCATAGCGAGAAACCTCCCGCCGCGATAGTTTATCCCAGCGCGAGGGGCGAGGGGGCCTGGGGAGGGAGGGAGAGAGGGAGGGGTGGGAGAGAGTGAGCGGGTCTAGCAGGGAGCGAGCAAGACGAAAAGGAACATGGAAAGGGCGGGGGCGGCGGAGGAGAAGGAGGAGCAGCAGCAGGAGCAGCGGGAGGAGGGAAAGGGGAGAGGGAGGGAGTGAGGGAGGGGGGAGGAGGGAGTGAACAGGAGGAGCAGAAGGAGCCAAAGGAGGCGGCACGAGGAGGCGGAGGAGCACCAGGCACCGCAGGCGAGGGGGGGGGGGCCCGCGCCCAGCGGAGCTGCACCGCGAGAGGGGCGCGCGGGCCTGTCCACCTCGACCGTGACCACCTGGCGAGGAGGGGGGTCGTCATGCTCCTCCAGCTCCTCCTCCTCCTCCTCCAGCTCCTCCTCCTCCTCCTCAAGCTCCTCCTCCTCCTCCTCAAGCTCCTCCTTCTCCTCCTCTTGCTCCTCCTCTTCCGCCTCCTCCCTCCTCCTTCTCCTCCTCCTCCTCTTGCTCCTCCTCATCCTGCTTCTCCTCCTCGTCCTCCTCCTCCTCCTCCTCCCCCTCCTCATCCTCCTCCCTCCCCTCCTCCTCCTCGTCTCCTCCTCCTCCTCCTCCTACTCCTCCTCCTCCTCCTCCTCCTCCTCCTCCTCCTCCTCCTCCTCCTCCTCTCCTCCTCCGCCGCCTTCTCAGTCTGCTCCTCCTGCTTCTCCTCCTCCTCCGTCCTCTTTTCCTCCTCCTCCTCCTCCTCCTCCTCCTCCTCCTCCTCCTCCTCCTCGGGCTCCTCTTCATCCGTCCTGCTCCTCTCCTCCTCCTGCCTCCTCCTGATCCTCGCTCCTCCTCCCTCCTCAATTCCTTTGCTTCATGAATAACTCCTCCCTGTCGCACCCCAAGGCAAATCGAAAGGGCGGGGCGGGCGTTTTGGCGGAGACTTCCTCACTGATCATTATCATGAGCCTTACATATTTTCATGGAAGGAGGGCGAGCCGCTTCCAGAAAGGGGCTCTCGCCTGGGCGCCGCGCATGTTCGTCTTGCAGCTGCGAAACAAATTTGATAGATGGAGGGCGGGTCGCTTTCAACATGTGGCTCTCGCCAGGGCGTCGCTTAACAGATGGAGGGCGGGCCGTTTTCATAATGTGGCTCTCGACTGGGCGCCGCGAACGATCGTCTTAACCAATTACAAGAGCTTTACATCGGAGGGCGGTTCCTTTTCCAAAACATGTGGCGCTCGCCTGAACGCCGCGCACACTCGTCTCCACAGTTCGCAACAGTTTCAAGGAGAACCATGGCTAACGTCCCAGAAACAGTGTCGGACTGTCAGGGCGCAAATCTTACGTTGATTGGCGGTGTAAAAGTCTCAGAAATGGCTTGTGTTGAAGTCTCATGAATGGCTTTCTGGCCCGAGTCAGGACTGCCAAGACGAAGCGGTACCGGTGATTCGCGGCGTTGAAGTTCCAGGAATGGTGCTCTGGCAGAGTTCAGGATTTTCAAACGATGGCCTTCTAACTGGGCGCTTCCCTCAGTGCAAATGAATCCCTGTTTAGGGCTTACGAGCTTGAAGGCAGGATTCATTGCAATATCGTTGGTGAGTCTTGGGTTTGCGCTAGAATGCGCCCTCCCCACCACGCCCCCCCCTGGCTGCCAGTCCCTTGCTCCGCACCTGCCGCGGCAAGATCCGAAGCCACAGTCCCCATCTCCGCCTCCTCTCCTCGAGCACACGTGCCTCCGCGCAAGGGGGAGCGCTCCGGCTTATGTCGGCGTGTTGGGAGCCACGCCGCAGGCGGTCACGAGCAGCTCGTGGGACTCTGATGCGGCCGTCTGCAGCAGACGTGGACACTACTCCGAGTTTCTTAATAAGCGTCGGGTGGGCGTCAGCCCCGCCGACAGCCCCGCATCGACCCCCGTCGCGCGCAGCCACCGCGCGCCAAAGGCGATCCGACTCCCGTCGCGGCGCGACGACGAGGCGTGGTTGACGCCCGTCGGGGGGGTACCCGCCCACGCATATCAAGAAACCCAGAGTACGGGTGACGAGGTGGGAGCCTTGGAGAAGGCGGCATCAACCGCATGCAAGAGACGTGTCCTGAAGATGGCTTCCGTGGGCGACGTGCAAGGAGGCAAGGCTCCTAGAATGAGCGCAGACGGGCATACCTTCGGTCACCAGCACAGATACAGCAGGTCCGTGTCGTGTCGACCCCGGCGTTGGTTCCCGACACCGCGGGGATCGTTCAACCTTGAGCGATCGGCCGTGTCCGAAACGTCCAAATCGTTCCACGTCGGACGGTTCTGGGTCGCCCGCGGCGTTCAAAGTTGAACGCCGCTGGCGGGGTCACCGCCGGTCGACACGACACGAACCTACCGTACACGCCAAAGCACCTCCGGCAGTGCGAGATCGCATGGGGTTGCTTCGCCGACCCTCGGCGACGCGTCCGGCATCGTACTCAGTGCGGGGGCGCGGCGCGTGCCTAAGTCTTCGCCCGCGCGCAGGCGACGCTGGTTCCCAGGGACGGCGGGCTGCTCTGGAACGGCGGGCAAACACATTGCGTGGTATACACCCTGCGAAACGCTTAAGAAATCATGGGCTAAGAAATTCACAGTCTGAGAATTAGAGTAAAAAGCCCAGGATGTCTAACAAAAGCTTAGGAATGATATTAAAACATTAAGAATAATCGAGACTTTGGCCGATGACGTAGGTTTTCTTAAGCATCGCCTAGGGTGTACAGCTCGAATCCGCGCTGATGGTCCCTAACATCACGCGAGGGCTCGGCAGCGTCCTGTTGGGCAGGGGGTCCTCTTAGTCCTGGGGCAAGGCAAGTTCATCTGGTCGATCCCCTTTCGCTGCCGACAGCTCGTGGATGCAGTTGTTCCGAACCGACAAACTGTGAATTTGTCCCTGCCTCCCCTGCATCCTCGCCCGTCTTCTCCTCCTCATGCCTCACCCGCCTTCGCCTCATCCCCCGAAGACAAAGAAGGGGATGACAACTGGAGACGAGGGCGACAAACGGAGACGACGACGACGACGACGACGACGACGACGACGACGACGACGACGACGACGACGACGACGACGACGACGACGGCGGCGGCGGCGGCGGCGGCGGCGGCAGCGGCGACGACGACGACGACAGACGACAGACGACAGACGACAGACGACGACGACGACGACCTGTCCCGGTCTCAGCCAGCGCTGCGGCCGCAGGCCCAGGCCGACGCCGAACGGCGTGCCCGTGAGGATCACCGTGCCGGGCAGCAGCGTCGTCCTGGAGGCCCCCACGGCGGAGGCGAGGCCGGGATGGGACAGAGGCTGACTGGAACAAGTCCCCCCTCCTGCCTCCTCCTCCCCCTCCTCCTCCTCCTCCTCCTCCTCCTCCTCCTCCTCCTCCTCACATTCTCCTCCGCCTCCTCCTCCTCCTTCCCATCATCCTGCTCATCTGGCCAGCACTCCGGCTGCGCCGGCCGCCCACCCGTCCCCTGCGACAGGATCGCGATGACCTTCCTCATCTTCATCCTCCTCCTCCTCGTCCTCCTCCTCCTCCTCCTCCTCCTCCTCCTCCTCTCCTCTCCTCCTCCTCCTCCTCCTCCTCCTCCTCCTCCTCCTCCTCCTCCTCCTCCCCCTCCCCCTCCTCCTCCTCCTCCTGTCCGTCAGTCTCTCCTCCCCCGCCGATCCTCCTCCCGAAGAAGGCGACGGGGCCGGGCAGGGCACAAGACGACGCCAGGACCAGGCCAACAGCTGAGCTGGACAGCTCTGGGCTCGCTGCGAGCCCCGGCGGAACCCCGGGGGGACGCCACTCGGGCGACGCGGCGGCCACGCCAGGGCAGTCCCCGGAGCATTCGGACGACGCTCCAAGAAGTGCCCCAGGACGAGTTCTCCTGGAATGGGCCCCGCCCGACCCCCCCCCTCCAAGGAGGAGGAGGGAACGACAGAAGAGGGTATACAGAACCCTAGAGGTATCAAAAACCAGCAGAACAACCTCGGGCTTGTTTGTATACCCTCGGGTTCTCGTTTTACCCTCGCAGTCTTGATACCCTCGGGATTAGTTCTATACCCATGCGACCCGACTGCGCATTTGCAGACTGAGGGGCAACGGCAGCGGAGGACCAGCTCAGGGGAGGGGGGGACAACATCGACCTTGAATCGGCGATGGATTGGCGAGAAACAAACGGGAAGGAGACTGTACGCTCCTGGGCGAGGCGGGCCATCCGGCCCGTGTGGAAGGTGAGCAGGTGACCGGGGGTCGATGCGTTCCCCCTGAGCTTATCCCCCCCCTGACGTTGACCCTGACACCCCCCTCCCTCCAGGGAGCAGGAACGAACGACACACGGAAGCCGCGCCCTGCAGGCGAGCACGGGCAGACTGATGGGAGACGCGTGCCGCGTGCGCGCCAGCGTCGCACGCGTGCCGTGATGCCGACACCAGGACTTGCCATCGCTCGGACGTCCACTCCTCGTGCCCTTCTGCGGTGTGGTGCGTGTGCTGTTTTTGTTTGGCCACGCGATCCAGGATGCTCCTCGAGGCTCCTCGCCGAGAAAGCGTGCACACGCCCGATCCATGCCCAGCCCCCTGGGAGGAGGCGAGGCAGGAGCGCACCTCTCCGCCGGTGCCCTGCGCGGGTCCCCGGTGCCGCGGGGCGCCGCCCCAGCTGCGCCTGCCTCCTCCTCCTCCTCCTCCTCCTCCTCCTCCTCCACCTCCTCCTCCACCTCCTCCTCCTCCTCCTCCTCCTCCTCCTCCTCCTCCACCTCCTCCTCCTCCTCCTCCTCCTCCTCCTGCCCTTGCTGCGCGGGGCGGGCGGGGGGGGCGTCTGCGGCCATGCCAGGCCTCGGGAGGAGTCCCACCCGCCCTCTGGGCGGCGGGTGGTCTCTGAGGAGGGCCTCCGTCCTCTTCCACAAACCCCTCCTCCGTTCGGGGCGCCCCCCCCCCCCCCTCCCTGGGTTTTTTGTTGGGAGGGGTCGCCATGTGTCAAAGGCTCCTTGTTCTGCCCCCGGGAGGGCCATTTTCTGCCACCGCTCACGAGGAGCGTGGCCCCCGAGGGGGGGACGCAAAACTAGTACCCCCCCTCTTTTCACCGACCGCCTCCGAAATGGCCCCGAGAGGCCCTCCAGGACTCATTCATCTGCCAATGCCCCCTCCCCAATGATCAGTGTTGGCGGTGGGTTGTATGAGCTGTGCACTTCGACCGCAGGCTCCCCCGCGCGTGCCAACTGTGAGTTCGGGGGAGCGGTGGAGTGTCCACGAATCGCTTCCTTCTATCGTATTGGAGGCCAGTGGGGCCGACCCAGAGGGTCAACATCTTGCCATCAATCGGACGCCCATTTCCCCCGACATGCTCCAGTGTTGTGCCTGTCTCTGCTGCTCCATGATCCAGGATGCTCCCTGACGCTCCTCGCCGAGAAGCCATACACACGTCCGAGCGGTGCCACGACGTCGGTGAAAAAGCCATCGGTGCCTGTACGGTGCTTTCAGAGCGTTCGCACCCGTTCTGTCCCAGGAGCGCCCGAGGCGACCCGAGAGGCCCCTCGGATCGCCCCTACGAGGCCTCGAGGCCGCCCACGAGAGCGGACCCCACCCAAGACAAGCCCCCCCCTGTGAGGCACCTGGTCCACCTCTCCCCCTCGCCCACAGCCTCATCCCCATGCGCTGTCGGTGTATACTTCCGCTCTGACACCTGGCCAGCCGATGGCGGCTCCATCCTGGACCTCCCGACCCACCTAGCAATCAGGAGGGACGAGAGTACCACTACCGCCAGCTGCAGGGGTGGCCGCTCCCTCCCCTCGAGCTGGAGGCATGCCAAGAGCGAGGTGCCACTAGCTCGAGGGGGGTGGGACGGCCACTCCGCTGGCTGGTGGCAATGGTACTTTGTGTTGTCTCTGGCCATCCAAAATGAAATGTCGACGGCGAACCAAGGTGAAATGTCGACGCCGTGCTTTGCAGCGTCACGCCGCGCCCGACAGCGCGGAATGTCGCCCTCGCCTCGGCGCCCTGCACACCTCGCCTGCGAGTGGCGCTCCCCCCATGGGCGCGGCGCACACCTGAAGGGGCCCTGGGGCACGCAACTAAGTAGACGCAAGTCATCCCCCTATTTTCCAATATCTTCTGGGACGTCGTCTCCCCCCCACTTCCCATGTTCTCCCATCGTCTCCGGGGGGTCGACGGTGAATTGTGTCTGTGTGGCTCTTCCCTTCCCGGACACTCGCGGCCCGCCCCGTGGACGGCGGCGCAGCTGCGCGCGAGCAGTCGACGCGGCGCTTCCCATCCCGGGCGCCGCGCAGCTGCCGCCCGGAAGCGGCGCTCCCGCCCTGGCGCGGCACACGCCCCGCACGCTCGCCGGCTCGTCGGAGGCGGACGCGGGGCCGCGCGCGAGCCGACGGGACGCCGCTCTCGCCCAGACACTTGCGCAGCTTTCGCCCTGGCTCGGGCGCGTCCCCCCCCCCACAGGGGGCTCCTGGACGAAGAGCAAGGGACACCCAGCAGATGCTTCGAACCTGCTCGAGCAGAGGCAGAGACGCTCGTCCCCAGACAGATGTTTTTGGCCTAGGTTCGAAGTGTTCCCCCCGTAGAGGGACAGGCCCGACTGACACTTCGCCTCGAGGCGGCGCCCACGCCCGCGGCGCGGCACACGACGCGTCTCCGCCGCGCCCCTCGGGACTGCGCGGCCGCGCGCGGGGAGCAGGCGAGGGCCCAGAGTCGCGCCGAGGAGCCGACCCCCCGGCGATCGGCACGGACCCCGTGGGCGGAGATCGGCAGCCAGGCCGGAAGGCGTCGAAGCGGCCGACATCGTCAGGCCAGTACAGGCCTCCACGGAGACATGGGGCTCCAGATCGGAGTCCACAGTCGGATCGCATCGGAAATCGGGGAGCCTTCGAAGTCGGCCTCCACGGAGAGATGGGGATCCAGATCGGAATCCACAGTCGGATCGCATCGGACATCGGGAGCCCTCGAAGCCGGATCGCATCGATGCAGAGGAGCCGGAAACGAGCCCTGGGAAGGGCTGGCCGGTGCTGCCGCCGGAGCGCCACGCAGGAGGGCTTCCGAGAAGTTCCGCTCCTCCTGCTGGCGTGCGGCCCGTGTTCCGTTCCTTGGAGCATCGTCGGGTGCTGGGCCCGCGCGCGAGCGCCTGCCACTCGCGGGGGGCAGTGGGCGCGCGCCAATCCCAGGAGGCAAGCGCCCCACGTCTGAGAATTATGTTCTGGGAGGGAGAGGCGGGGAGTGAACGGTGCCCCCCGGCTCAAAGGAGCTGCAGGCTGGCTGAGCTCCTCCGTCCTCGTCCCCAACTTGTGGTGCTCGTCTCCTCTGCAGTCTCTTCCTCCCCATTCTTCCGTTTATCGAAATCAGAGGCATCAGCATCAGCATCAGCATCAGCATCAGCATCAGCATCAGCATCAGCATCAGCATCAGCATCAGCATCATCATCATCATCATCATCATCATCATCATCATCACCATCACCATCATCATCATCATCATCATCATCATCACCATCCTCACCATCACCACCACCACCACTACCACCACCACCACTGTCATAGTCATCATCATCAGCAGCATCATCATACTCATCATCATCACCACCACCACCACCACCACCACCATCATCATCATCATCATCATCATCATCATCATCATCAGCATCATCATCATCGTCAGCATCATCATACTCATCATCATCATCATCATCATCGCCACCATCAGCATGAGCATCATCATCATCATCATCATCAGCATCATCATCAGCATCATCAGCATATGCATCCGCATCATCAGCATCGCCATCATCAGCACCAGCATCAACATTAGTTTCAACATATTCATCAACATGACCACCATCTTCATCAGCAGCATCGCCATCATCATCGCCATCATCATCTTCATTATCACCATCGTGATCCTCCTCCTCCTCCTCCTCCTCCTCCTCCCGTGCTGTTCTTGCCTCCACATCACCTCCGCCTTCTCCTCCTCCCTTTCCTTCCGTGAATCGTCGCCATCTTTCTCCTACTCCTACTCCTCCTCCTCCTCCTCCTCCTCCTCCCCCTCCTCCTCCTCCTCCTCCTGCTCCTCCTCTTCCTCCACCCTTCACCTCCTCCTCCTCCTCCTCCTCCTCCTCCTCCTCCTCCCTCCTCCTCCTCCTCCTCCTCCTCCTCCTCCTCCCCCTCCCCCTCCTCCCCCCTCCTGCTTCCTCCTCCTCCTGTCATCTCCTCCCTCCTCATCCTCTTCTCCTCCTCCTCCTCCTCTCCTCCTCCTCCTCCTCTCCTCTCCTCCCCCTCCTCTCCTCCTCTGCTCCTCCCATCCTCCTCCTCCTCATCCTCCCTCCTCCTCCCTCCTCCTCCTCCGCCTCCTCCTCCTCCTCCTCCTCCTCCTCCTCCCCCTGCTCCCTCCTCCTCCAGCTCCCTCCTCCTCCTCCTCCTCCTCCTCCCCTCCTCCTCCTCCTCCTCCTCCTCCTCCTCTCTTCCCCTCCGCCTCTCGATCTGCCCCTCCTCCTCCTCCTCTCCTCCTCCTCCTCCTCCTCCTCCTCCTCCTCCTCCTCCTCCTCCCATTTCATCGTCCTGCTCCTCCTGGCCGTGCACTCCAGCCACGGCTGCCGCCCATCCCCTCCCCTGCGACAGGAAGGCGATGATCTGCCGCACGCTGAAGATCATGTCGTCCGTGCAGGCGTCCTGGCTGCCCGGGCCCCCCTGGCTAACGAGCACCCTCGTCCTCGCCTCCTCGTCGTCGCCATCGTCAGCGTCGTCGCCGTCGTCGTCACCGTCGTCCTCGTCGTCGGCGGCATCGGCGGCGTCGTCGGCGGCGTCGTCGGCGGCCCCGGCCGACAGCGGGTGCGCGCGTGGGCAGGCCCGCGGCACCCGCCAGCGCGGGGCATGGCTGCAGCCAGAGCCCCGCGTCCTTCTACTCGCTCTCTCTTACTCCTATTCGCTCTTTCCTACTCCTACTCTACTCGCTCTCTCCGCCTTCTCCCCCTTCCAAATCTTACTCGCTCTCTCCTGCCTCCGCCTCTCGCTCTCCTCGCTTCTGCTGCCTCCCAGGTTCCCAGGGGGGTCTCGAGTCGAGCTGCACACCACAACCTCAGCCCATCGCTCGAAAGACTGCCTCTTCGCTGGCCGCTTCGTGAGCGGCTTGAAATGCCCATCCATCATCATGAGCATTGTTGAATTCTGCACGCATCCAGAAGGCTACTTGCTCGACTTCTTCTTGTGAGCACTCCCCGAATGAACCGCTTCACGCCATCTTTCGGGGGTCGGCGTCACAGCAGGCTCCTCGGCGACCACTTCTTGGGAAAATGGTCGCCATGAGCTGCTCGTCCCCAAAAGTGGTTGCGCCTCTCCGCTGACCTTTCCGTGAGCGGCTGGGAAGGCCCATCATTATCGGCAACGCTTCATCTGGCTCGCATCACGGCGTCGAGTCGATCCGCTTCTTCTTGCGGGAGAGGAGGGGCACTTATCCTTGCTTCTCCTCCTCCTCCTCCTTCTCTTTCTGTGTCCTCCTCCTCCCGTCCTCCTCCTCCTCCTCCTCCTCCTCATCCTCATCCTGCTCGTCCATCCTCCTCCACTGCACCCTCTGCCAAGTGCAGCACAGCAGGAGTTCTGCAGTGCCGCCTCTGGCGCAAAAGACGCCCACCAATCATATAATGGAGCACGCCGCTGTGTTCAGAACCCGCGTGCCCCTCTCAACTTCACTGCTGAAGACGGGTCTGCATTGGCGGTGGCGTTTTGGGCGTTTTTGTATGCCGACCTTAGTTGCCCCGGTACGCAACACGCAGCACGTGGCGTATTGATACGGGCCTCAACACGTAGGCTGAAAACGTAGGTCAGACGCGGTACATTCGCCAAAGCGTGGTCCCATCAACACGCAATGTATTGCCACGGACGTCTTGAAAACGGGACGTGTTGCGATTCAAGATGGCGCATCGAGGCAACTAAGATGCCGATGCTTGCACCCCGGACACGGCCGCGAACGCAACATCGAAATGGGGGTTCTGTGGGGCGGCACCGTCGAAGCAACGCCTGTGGATGGGCGCTTCTTTGCACCAGCGGCGGGGGGCCGAGGATCGACGCGGGGTCGGGAGGAGGAGGGCGTGGGGATGCGGTCGGGGAAGGGGCGGGGGCGAGGGGGCGACAGATCGAGGCTCGAGGGTCGAGGGGTCGGGGCCCCCTCCAGCACATCCCTGCGCGCATCCCCCCCCCCCCCCCGCCCTCCCGAGGCGTCCTGGGCGGCGGCCTGGCGGGCCTGCCGGCCGCTCCCCCGAGGCTCTCTGAGAGGCTCATCTCCAGGGCGGGCCCCGCGCGTCCAGGCTTTTGAAGGGGCCCAAGGGCACACCCATCAGAACACACAAACAACAGGGCTCCCCATCGTGTCCCATGCTTCTGTTCCGGGCCTTCGTCTTCCCCCCCCACTTCCCATGTTTTCCCAGATTTTCCTGGGAGTCGGCGATTACTTGTGTCTGCGTGTTTTCTCTCCCCCTGAGCTCTGAAAGCCTCCCAGAGGGGCCCCCAACCCACGTCGTCGTCGTCATCGTCGTCGCGCCTGTCGTCGTCGGCGTCGTCATTACCGTTGTCCTCGTCGTCGAGGCCGTTGTCGCTGTCATCGTCGCCGTCACAATCGCCACCGCCGTCGTCGTCGTCGTCGTCGTCGTCGTCGTCATCGTCACCGTCGTCGGCGCACTCGTCGTCGTCGTCGTCACCGTCGTCGTCGTCGTCGTGGTCGTCGTCGACGTCGTCGTCGTCGTCACCGTCGTCGTCGTCGTCGTCACCGTCGTCGTCATCGTCGTCGTCACCGTCGTCGTCGTCGACACCGTTGTCCTCGTCGTCGTTGTTGTCGCTGTCATCGTCGTCGTCCTTGTCATCATCACCGTCGCCGTCGCACTCGTCGTTGTTGTCGTCGTCACCGTCGTCGTCGTCGTCGCCGTCGTCGTCGTCGTCATCGTCGTCGTCGTCTGCGACGTTACCGTCGTCGTCGTCACCGTCGTCGTGCCTGTCGTCTTTACCGTCGTCGTCGTCGTCACCGTTGTCCTCGTCGTCGTCGTCGTTGTCGCTGTCATCGTCGTCAAACCGTCGCCACCTCCGTCGTCGTCGTTATCGTCGCCGTCGAACTCGTCGTCGTCGTCGACACCGCTGCCATGGTCGTCGTCGTCGTCATAATCGTCGCCGCCGCCATGGTCGTCGTCAATATCGCCGTCGCCGTCGCAGTCGTCGCAGTCGCCGTCGTCACCGTCGTCGTCGTCACCCTCGTCGTCATCGTCGTCATCGTCGTCGTCACCGTCGTCGTCGTCTAGGTCGTCGTCGTCGTCGGCGGCACCGTCGTCGTCGTTGTCGTCGCGTCTGTCGTCGTCGTCGTCACCGTTGTCCTCGTCGTCGCTGGTGTCGCTGTCATCGTCGTTGTCACAGTCGCCACCGCCGACGTCGTCGTCGTCGTCGCCGTCGCTGTCGCACTCGTCGTTGTCGTCGTCGTCGTCACCTTCGTCGTCGTCGTCGTCCTTTGTCGTCGTCGTCGTCGTCGCCGCTGCCATTGTCGTCGTCGTCGTCATCGTCGTCACCGCAGCAATGGTCGTCGTAGTCGTCGTCGTCGCCGTCGTCGTCGTCGTCGCCGTCGTCGTCGCAATCGTCGTCGTCACCGTCGTCACCGTCGTCGTCGTCGTGGTCGCTGTGGTCGCCATCGTCGTCGTTGCCGTCGTAGTCGTAACGGTCGGCTTCGTCGTCGTCATCGTCGTCGTCATTATCGTCGTCATCGTCGTCACCGTCGTCGTGGTCGTCGTCGTCGTCGTCACCGTTGTCCTCGTCGTCGCCGTCGTTGTCGCTGTTATCGTCGCCGTCGCCGTCGCCACCGCCGTCGTCGTCGTTGACGTCGTCGTCGCCGTCGCCGTCGCCCTCGTCGTCGTCATTGTCGCCGTGCGTCGTCGTCGTCACTATCGCGGCTGCCGCCGTCCTGCAGGACCTCCCCGTCCACGGTCGTGGTCACGCGCAGGTTCTGCGGATCGGCGATCGCTGCGGGGGTGACCTCCAGCGCAGGGGGCGCGGGGGAAGGGGCAGGCAGGGAGGGGGGGGGGGGAAGGAGGAGGAGCGAAACTAGGCGGCGTGGATGCCATAGGCGGCGGGACGGGCAACTGGGCCACTGGACGACCTCGATTCACTGCTGGGGCGTCCTCTACGGATAGCTTGGCACTGCCAACTGGCATGGACGTAGCTGGGCCACGTCGGGCAATCGCCTGCGATCCCGCAGGGCGCAGGGAGGGAGGGAGGGGAGGGAGAGAGAGGAGGAGGAGGAGGAGGAGGAGGAGGAGGAGGAGGAGGGAGGAGGAGGGAGAGAGGAGGAGGAGGAGGAGGAGGAGGAGGAGGGAGGAGGAGGAGGCGGAGGCGGAGGAGGAGGAGGAGGAGGAGGAGGAGGAGGAGTGAGGCCGCAGCTGAGGGGAACAAGTCTGCTGCCAGCCTGACGCCACACCAGGGCACGCGGAGCAGAGAGCGACGCCGGCCAGGGAAGCGGGCGACAGTGCACGAGCAGGCTGAGAAGTCTTGAGGGCACACGGATCGTGAGGTGCTCCAGGAGAGGAGGAGGAGGAGGAGGAGGAGGAGGAGGAGGAGGAGGAGGAGGAGGAGGAGGAGCCTCTTGGCCCATCGGCGCGGCAGCGCCTACCGCAGGGCACCCCCGCTGGCAGGCCAGCCTTGCCGCCCGGGTGCCCCCGCTCGACGCCGTGGGCTGGCCGCGGAGGGCGCGGCGCTCGCGGGCTGCAGGGGCAGCGGGGGCCGCGCGTCCGCGCGGGCTCCGCAGAGGAGCATCGGCGGCGCGCCCGCGGGGAAGAGCGAGGGGGCAGGCCTGCTCGGAAGGCGGCGGCGGCTGCTCGGAAGCCCTGCGGCCTGCCGGGAAGCCGGCCCCGTCTGCCGAGAGAGGAGGAGGCTCCACAACCGTCTCGGAAGGCCGGAGGCCTTCCAAGCCTTCTGAGCAAGCCCGCTGCCATCGCTGCGGCGCCCCTTCCGCGCGCGCGCGCGCGTTTTTTTGTTGTTTGTTTTTTTTGTGTTTCGCAAGACACAGACCCCCGACGTCATTATTTTTTCCTGGCGCCGACCCCCAGAGGTCTCGCCCCGTTCCCCAGGACCGGTCTTTCATCCCGAATCGTTTGTTCGCTGTCCCGAGGCCCGGTAAGGGCCCCCGAAGGCCGAAAGCAGCGACAAATCTCCCGCTGTGATTATTTTACGACTCCAGGGGCTCTGGGGAGGCTCCTCGATGGTCTCCGCCGCGCAAAAAATAGAGGCCTCCTAGATGGGAGCCGAGTAGATGGGGTCGGTGGAACGTGCCGCATCGCCGAAGCATCGGCGATGCATCGACGATGCATCGACGATGCATCGACGATGCACCGCCGACGTCGGCGGTGCATCGGCGACGGCGGCATGTAGAAAATCGGGCCCCGCATCGAGCTGCATCGCCGATTCATCGGCGATTTGGCGCGATCCCCCGGCCCCATCTACTCCGACCCCATCTGGGCTTAGGTCGGGCATGTCCCCCCACAGGCGGATTTTGGGCGAAAAATCAAAACTATGCGAAAAATAATCAAAAAATGGCCAAATAAATGTTCAAAAACTCGTCCCCGTCATATTTTTTACAATTTTTTGGGTACTCCTCCTGTAAAGGGACAGGCTCGACTTCAATCTGGGAGGCCCAGAAACAGAATCCACAGAAACCACACGCCCGAGCGATGCCGAGGTCCCCCCCCCCTCGGCGTGCCCCCCCCCCCAAGAGGCCTCGCCGCCGAGAGCTGATGGGCCTGTGTTCCACCACCACCACCACCCATAAGTTGGAGGAGGGAAGGGGGTGGAGGAGCAGGAGGAGGAGGACGAAGAGCAGGAGGACGAGGACGAGGAGGAGGAGGACCCCCTCCCCCTCCAACTTATGGTGGTGGTGGTGGAAGGCAGGCGAGCGAGCGAGCATGCAGCAGTGCAGTCAAGGCAATAGCACTGAGCATCAGCAGTGCGGGGGCGCGGAGGGCGCGGAGGTCGCGAGTGCCGCGGGCGCTCTCGCGGGCCCGTGCCTCCCGAGACTCCCGCGAGCCGTGAGAAAAAAATCACGAAGGCTTTGCTGCTCCCATCGTATACTTGAGGGCCCCAGACATGCTCGCGTCGTTAAACAGATCAGGACGGCAAATGTTTGACTATTTTCGGCCCTCGGGGGCCCTCGCCGGGCCCCGGGACCATCAAACAACGGCTCAGGATGAAAAACGAGTCCCGGGGAAAGGGTCGGGACTTCCGGGGACGCCGTCCTGAACAAATGAGGACGTCGCATGTCTGGGTTGCTCCAACCGTACATGATGACTAATTATATCACACAAATAATTTCGAGCACCTGGAAAAGTGTCGAGAGAGTGTCGAGACAGTGTCCAAACAGTGTCGGACGAATGTCGCCCAGGGCCCGACACGTGAAAACCATCGAGTTCCGATATAATTTTCTGGTGCTCAAAATTCTATGTGGAAATCAAAGCTAAAGTAGGTTGGAATATCATAACACGACGGGAGGTTCTTCCTTATTTGCGGCCGCTGGGGGCCCTCACCGGGAGTCATGAAAAAATCGCGGCGGGAGGTTTTTCCCTATTTCCGCCACTGGGGGCCCTGACTGGGCCTCGGGGCCGTGAACAAGAAACACAAATAAAAAACCGGTCCCGCTAGGGACCCAGACCCCCTCGAATCGCGATAATATATATATATATATACATATATATATATATATATATATATATGACCGGGTCATCAAAAATGGTCCACAAAGTACGCCCAAATAGTCAAACGTAGTTATGAAACAAATCCTCCCCCGACTATTTGTCTAACATGTTTGGATATCCTTCCTGTAAAGGGACATGCCCGACTTAACCTTACCAACAAATGCGACTCCCACCCAAACCCTCGAATTAGAGTCATGACAACAATCACGACGGGAGGTCTTTTCTTGTCTTCTGCCACTGGGGGCCCTGACTGGGCCTCGGGGCCGTGAAGAAACAAATGAAAGAACGGTTCCGGGGAAGGGGCCGAGACCTCTGGAAGTCGACGTCGTGACACAACTCATCGCGTCAGGGGCCCGTGCCTCGCGTGCGCGGGCAAGGACATGTCCGCACAACCTTGGGACGGGCACGTCCTCCTACACGCGGGTTTCATTTTTCAAGATTAGCCAACATATCTTCAAGTACTATGTATATGTATACATATATACACACGTGATAGAAAACAGTTTGCCAGAACATTGTTCACCGACTATGTATTGAAACTAGTTTTGAACACTTCTCCTGTACAACCGAACGGCCCCCCCTCAAACTGGGCGCGAACTCTACTGGGGGGGGGGGGCGCTCAATGATGGGGGGGGAAGCGGTGCCCTTCTTTTCTCGGGACCTGAGGGCCGCCTCTTGGGCCCGAAAGGGCCCCTTGAGGGGCCCTCGCTGCCCGCCCCCCCATTGATCGCCACCCCGATTCCGCGCCCTCCGACAAAAAACCGACCCCAGGACCTGCCCGGGGATGCGTCCTCACCACCCCGGCGCAAATCCAGCCGTGTCCACGAGCGCGCCCCAGGGAGCCAAGTGATGCCCTGAAGCCTCGGGGAGCAGAACGCAAACCTTGACTCCCCGAGTCACAATGGAACCAAACCTCGGAGCAACTGGCACTGGAGCTATGCCCAAGGGGCATCCAAAGGTCGCAAGGCGCATCTGGGGATCGCCCTGGCTCCCCGATGGCCCCTTGAGCCTAGACAACAAGCGCACACACACGCTAGAGACACGCAAAAACATCAAGATAACTGCATATTCGAATTTCTTCGAGTCGCCCGGCGCGCCCGGGCTCTGCGTCTCCCCTCTCCCTCCCCCATCTCCTCACCACCGCTGTCATGAGGGGCAACGTTAGGGGGGGACGAACGTCGACCTAAAATTGGCGATGCATCGCCGATAGATTGGCGACAGACCCCCGGTAGCTACAATGGGGCCCCAACCACAAGAAACCCTGAGACCCCAGGACGTCCATCGATTTTTAGCGCGGGAACGTCACGCCTTGCATAGGAACCCCCTCGAAAGCCAAGAATCCCAGGGCACCGTGGAGGCAAGCAGGGTGTTTCTTGGCATGGGCCCCCAACTGTACATAATCCGAATGCTCCTGATGGGGCGAGCTATCGGGCCCCGTATCGACGATTCATGGACGATTGTGGGTCGGTGTATCCCCCATGAGCCCGTCTTGCCCGAACGTTGCCCCTGATCTCCTCCTCTTTCCCCTCCTCCTCCCCCTCCTCCTCCTCCTCCTCCTCCTCCTCCTCCTCCTCCGCCTCCTCTTCCCCCCCTCCTCCTCCTCCTCCTCCTCCTCCTCCTCCTCCTCCTCCTCCTCCTCCTCCTCCTCCTCCTCCTCCTCCTCCTCCTCTTCGCACGTGGCCGCGCGCCACGTCCGTCAGTCTACACCCGCTCTAGCGCCTACCTCGCGGTGGGAATTATGAGGCCGACCTTGTCGGCCGAGATCGGGCGCTCGGGCTGAGAGTGCAGATGTGTGAACAGGATGGTGGCAGCAGAACCTCCGTCTCCTCCTCCTCCTCCTCCTCCTCCACCTCCTCCTCCTCCTCCCGGCCAAGCCATATCTCCCTCCTCCTCCTCCTCCTCCTCCTCCTCCTCCTCCTGGTCACTTCTGCCCCCACTTCCTCCCCATTCCTCACCCATCCTCCTGGGAGGGACCAGCACAGGGCCCAGCGGTGTGAAGGTGTCGAAGGACTTCCCGAAACACCACTGGCCGCCGCCCTAAGCGCCGGCGCGCCCCGCGCGCGCCCGCCGTTGTCGTGCTCGTCGTCATCGGGATCGTCGTCGTCGTCGTCGTCGTCGTCGTCGTCGTCGTCGTCGTCGCCATCGTCGTGGTAGTGGTGATAGTGGTCGTGGTCGTCGTCGTCATCGCCACCGCCTGGTCGTGGTCGTCGTCGACGTGGTCGTCGTCGTGGTGGTCGTCGTCGTCGGCGGTGCCGTCGGCGTCGCTGGGCGTCGTCCCCGGGGGAGGGGAGAGGGGAAGAGAGCTTGGGGGCCACTGCAGGGCTCAACTGTTCTCTGGGGGCTCCCGAACTGGGGCGCTGGGTGGGGGGGGAGCGGGCTGCCCCTCCCGGTGCTGGTTCTGCGCCTCCTCACATCCGCCCTCCTCCATTCCTTTTCCTCACAAATAATGTTTCCTTGTCGCACCCCGAGGTCAGTTTTTGGGTCGGGCCGGGCGTTTTTCGCTTGAGACTTCCTGACCAATTGTCACTCTGAAGCTGACAAGGTGACGACAGCTTCACAGATGGAGGGCAGGACGTTTTCAAAATGTTGGTCTCGCCTTAGCGCCGCGCGCATTCGCTGTTTGAGAAATTGCACAAAAGTTTCACGGATTGAGGGCAGGTGGTTTTCAACATATGGCTCTCGCCTGAACGCCACACACATTCGTTTCAAAAACTCACAAAAATTTCACGAATTGAGGGCGGCTTCTTTTCAACACGTGGCTCTCTCTTGAGCGCCGTGCACATTCGTTAAACAAATTGCACGAGTTTGACTGATTGAGGTCGGTTCCTTTTCAGAATGTGGCTCTCGCCTCAGTGCCGCGCGCACTCGACTTCAAACTCTCCACGGATCTCACGGATTGAGGGCGGCTCCTTTTCAACATGTGGCTCTCGCTTCAGCGCCGCGCGCGTTCGTTTTAAACCACTTGCAAGAGTTTCACATATTCCGATGATCAACGCACCAGGAATTGCACTTTGGAAGGATTCGGGCTTCCCCGAATCCCAGGCCCGAGGAGCAGCCCGCATCCCAGGAGAAGCTCGACCGTGCCGGCGGGGCCTTCTCCAGCTGCCACTCCCGCCCCGACACGTCGTTGGCGACCGTGTAGCCGGCCACGAAGCTCAGCGCCTCCTCCTCGCTCACGTCCTTGCACCTGGCCTGCCGCGCCGAGGCGCCGAGAGGCAGAGAGATGGAGAGCGAGAGAGAGAGAGAGCAGCTCTCTCGCCGGCAGCGGCCGCTGCGAGAGGGCTGGGGGCGGATCGGCGGGGGAGGCGCCCTGCACGAGGAAGAGAGAGGGCGCTCTTTGCACTCCACGCTTCCTCTCTCTCTCTCTCTCTCTTCCTCTCCCTCGCCCGAATCTCTCTCTCCCTCACTCTCCCTCTCCCTCTTCCTCTGCCTCCCTCTCTCTCTCTCCCTCTCCCTCTCTCTCTCACTCTCTCCCTCTCCCTCTCTCTCGCCCAGAGCTCTCTCTCGCAATCTCTCCTCCTTTTTGTTCCTTTCTCTTTCTCTCTCTCTCTCTCTCTCTCTCGCCAACATCTGATGATACCCTCACGGCAGACGGGGCGGGACGGCCGGCAAAGGAACCGCGGGAGGGGCAGGACGGCGACGGCAGACACGGAAGCGAGCAACTCGAGGGACTGAACAGGATGCGCCACGAGGGGTTCGAGGAGGGCCTCGCACCTGGAGGCCCCGGGAGGATCCATCTGTGAATCAATGACCAACCGGGGCGCGAGAGGCACCTCCACCTCGAGGATGGGCACCCCCGTCGGCGCACAAAAACTGGTGCACACCCGCCGCGGCCGCCGTGGGGGCCAGTCACCGATGGTGAGCTTCACGCTGGGCGGAGATCTTCCCTCGAACGAAACGCCACTGAATTCCAGCTCCCTCTGCAGGTCGACGCGCGACAAGTGGACACGGTGGGGGCATTAGACGAAGAAACCTTCGATAAGGAATCCAGGGTCTGGAAGCCAGTGGAAAGCCAATCGTGGGTTGGCCATGGATACCACCGCCGCCCGCATCAGATAAGGAGCCCTCCAGGGTCTGAAGCCTCCTGGGCACGTTCCTTAACGAACTCCCCCACCGAATAGCAGGGATAGCGGAGACTCAGTACGGGAGACCAGGGATAGCAGGGATAGCGGATAGCGAGGGATAGCAGGGATATAGCAGGGATAGCGGATAGCGAGGGATAGAAGGCATAGCGGATATATTGACGCAGAGACCACAAGCGCCTTGATCACCACCGCCAGCTCCACCTCCCAGTCCACCTTCGCCTCGATCTTCGGAATGTAGATCGGATCTCCTGCGGGCGCTCTCGCGACACAGGTGCACGTGGTGCCCATGGGGAGCGAGACTTCGTGGGGCCCCGGAAACAGCAAGCCCGTTTTTTTTGTTCCACCGTTCTCAAAAAAAGGGTCTCTTGCAACTGGAAAACGTAATATACATACCTAACATCGACACGAAGAAACAGACGGAGACTGAACACGGCAACAATAATGGCTCCAAACTTGATGCGAAGGCCGAAGACGGAAACAAAAACGGCGACGGAACCGGCAAACAAACGGCGTCGGAACAAGCAACACCAACGGCAAAACGGATCCATAACAAAAAAACGACCCTGTCTCTTCCAGGGCCCACTACGTGGGTGATGTCTGCCCATGGGGAGCAGAAACAGATGCAATTGTCAAAGGTCACGCGCTACCCGCCTTGTGAAACCCAGCATCCCAGACCTGAAAACGGCACACATGACGGCAAGGGGGATATTGAGATGGGTACTGATGGAAGCGCGGGTGGTGCTGCGCAGTGCCGAGAACACACGCACACACACACACACGCATGCACACAAAAACTCCTTTTCGTTGGCTCGGCTGGTGTCAACGAAGCGATTGTCAGGGCGGAACCGTCCTGGTTAAATTGCCACCCGGCGTTGGAGATGGGAACTTAAGACGTGGCCAACGCATGCGGAAGCAGCTGCCGAAGAGGGTGCGCGTGGAAGAGACAGGCATACAATCAGGTGAGCAGCGCCACCCGAGGATGCACACACACACACACACACGCACACCTGCGCAAATGCACGCGTATCTCCGCAAGCGCGCAGCACCAAGAATCTGGAGCACACACATATGGCTTTATGGCTGCCTCACAAGTTAGAAGATCTGCAACTGGACGCCACGCGCTGGATACACAGAAAGATGCCTGGCGCGTCCAGCCACAGAGAGCCGCTGGAAATGCATGTGGCCACATGCGTGCCCAGCTCCCCAAACCCCCGGCGTCATGATTTTATCATAACGTCGACACCCAAAACTATCGACCCATTCTCCAGGACAGGCTCTTCTCGTCCTGAGTCGTGTTTTGGACGGCCGCGAGGCCTGGTAAGGGCCCCCAGAAGCCGAAATTTGCAAAACATCTTGCGTCCTGATTGTTTTGCATGCCCCGAGGGGGTATTGGCCCTCGCACAGACCAGCGCCCAGTCATGTGTAGCCAGCTGCCTGGTGCAATCTGCGGAGCGGCAACTTTCCTGCAGAGGCGCCCTTGGCCAGCGCCGCGGGCTGACACCGTGGGCTCCCCCAGGCGATGGGCGGCTGCCAGAACGCAGGGTGGGGCACGAGTGCCGCGAATTTCCTATCTCACAAAAATCGTCCCGCGAATTACCAAGAAAAGAACTCCGCGCCTGAAACACATTCCTGCGAATCTTCGAGAGAGCGTGATCCACCGCCGCTTTACTGTGGAAAATTGCCAACCTTTTCCTCCGGAGCCCGGGGGTCGCCCCCCCCCCCCCAAACCCCCCCCCCCCCCTAACCCCTCCCCCCCCCCCCCTCCTCCTCGAAAACCGGGGGGGTCACTACCGGTTCGAACCCCTCCCCCCCCCCCCTCCGTTCCGGAAAACCGGGGGGGGTCACTACCGGTTCGAACCCCCCCCCCCCCCCCCCCTACTCACCGCCAGCAAACGACTCCCGGTCCCCACCACCGTCCGCATCACATCCCCCACTGGTGTTCCCAGCACCACTGTCCTCACCACCGCTGTCCCCACTGGTTCCACCACCGCCCCTACTGTCCCCACCAGTGGCCCCACCACTGTCGCACTGTCCCCGCTGTCCCCAGAACTGTTCCCACCACGGTTCCACTCTCCCCACTGTCTCCACGGCCCCAACCACTGCCCGACTATCCCCACTGTCCCCACTGTCCCACTGACTCCTCCGCTGTCCCACTGAGCTGTCCCACTGTTCCCACCACTGTCCCCACTGTCCCCACCACTGTCCCCACTGTACCTCTGTCCCATTGTCCCACCGCCGTCCTCGCCACCGCCTTCACCACTGTCCCCACCACCATTGTACCCTCCACTGTCCCACTGTTTCCACCTCATTCCCATTGTCCCCACACCACTGTCCCCACCACCACCGTCACCACCACTGTCCACTGTCCCCCCCTGTTCCCACCATTGTCCCCACCACTGTCCCCACCACTACCGTCCCCACCACTGTCCCACTGTCCCACTGTCCCCACCACTGTCCCGCTATCCCCTCACCACTGTCCCCACCAACACCGTCCCCACCACTGTCCGCACCCCCACTCGGTTTTCGAGGGGGGGGGGGTTCGAACCGGTAGTGACCCCCCCCGGTTTTCCGGATCCGGAGGGGGGGGGGGGGAGGGGTTCGAACCGGTAGTGACCCCCCCCCCTTTTCATGATGAGCAGGGGGGGGGGGGGGGAGGGGTTCGAACCGGTAGTGACCCCCCCCGGTTTTCCGGAGGGGGGGGGGGGGGGGGAGGGGTTCGAACCGGTAGTGACCCCCCCCGGTTTTCCGCCAGCAGCGGTAGAACACGCTCTTTCGAATCTTCGGAAAACAACGAAAAACTTCTCACGCCCAAAGAAATCGGGCAAATCAACAAAAAAAGCTTCGCGCCTACGGCATGTCAAACGAAATCTCCGCCGGCGTATTTTCCGAGAATTGCCTGAGGTTCCGGCGCGCCAGGAATTTGCCGAAGATGTGCCTGAGATTCCTGCACGCCGGAGATTTCCTTGTGATTTTCAAAGATTCTCTGGAGATTTCTGCACGCCAAAAATTGTCCAGAGATTCCCCTGGAGAGCCCAAGAGCTTTTCCGGAGAGATGCCCCAAATTCCCAGAGATTCCCCCAGACGTTTACCCAGAGATGTTTCATCCATAGGGCCCCAGCCGCGTGTGCCTTATACATTGGCCCAATCTAGCACGAAGGGCACCGAAGATCCCGGACACCACATGGAAATGCGAAGAAAGACGCGTGACACCTGGTGTCCCTCGCGGCACTGGATCAACAAGCGGTCGAAACAAACTGGCTGAAGGGGGACAGACCGAACACAGACACAGACTACAGACTACAGACTACAGACACAGACACAGACAGACAGACAGACAGACAGACAGACAGACAGACAGACAGACAGATAGACACGCAGACGCACACACGCACACGATCACACGCGAGCGCATAGTCTTTTGCAGATACGAAGTGGACCTTCCCAAGCGGCTGCTGAAACCAACCAAACTAACCGGGAAGTGAAACGGAAAGTGAAGGCGAACAAGCAATTGTGCTAACTACACTGAATATCGTGCCGAAGGCTACACGTGACATGCATCGCCCCGAGGAACCTGGTGCAAGCTAACGCAGCCGCGCCCTCGGGCGCTCCAGCTGAAGGGCCGCGTCCTCCAACTGAGCGGCGAAAAGAAACGGGTCTCACGCGACAAGACACGGCGACCTTGTGCCGCTGCTTGCGCGGGCCGCGGGCGTGGTACACTTAGGTCGGGCACGTCCTCCTACAGGGGGATTTTGGAAGAAAAATGGGAAAGTGTCAAAAATGCTCCCGAATGATGAGAAATACTTTTAAAAAGACTGTCCCCATACTATGTGTTGACTATTTTTGGAATTTTCCTCCCGTAGAGGGGCGTGCCCGATTCAAGACAAGACACCGCGACCTTGGGCCGCTGCTTACGCGGGCCGCGGTTGTGGTACACCGTGTGGAGCAGAGGGCGCGCACGCGCGACCTCGCGCGGGAGGCCTACACGCGCGAGCGTCCGTGCAGTATCGACCCCGTTTGGGCATCGTTTAAACGACCCTTATCCCCACGAACGTAGCTTGGGCCCCAATGGCCGATGTATCCCCCTAGATGGGGATATAGGCTGTTCCCTCCGAGTTTCGAGGGGCATATCCCCAACTAGGCTGGCGGGATGGTGAGGATCTGGACGGGGATGGAGAAGGGGAGAGGGATCGGTTGAACGATGCTGACCTATTTCTCTCATCGTTCGCCTGATTGTCCTGCAGGTGCACCAGCTGCTCGTACTCCGTCAAGTCTAGGGGGGCGAACAATGACATAAACGTAAAAACTCAAAGGTCCGCGCGGATTTCTCGGATCGGCGCTGTGGCCCCCTGGCGGCGCCTCCAGCGCCGCCCCTGGCGCGCTCCGCGCGCCAGGGAGGGGGGTCCGCGCGGACCTTTGAGTTTTTACGTTCATGTCACATGTCATTTTTCAATGATCAAAAATCCCTGTCCTGATCGAGGGCCTTGCCCATGTCGGAGTCCTCGCTCTCCATGGCCTTCCAGAAGTTGCTGACGCGAGTGCTGGCGGTCTGCACCGGCAGCCCCCCCTGCGCGAGCTCCAGGGGCTTGTGCTCTGCCTCGGTCCGCGCAGCGACGTCCTCGCGATGAAGGCTCTCGACCTCGTCCTGCATGGGCGGGAGGCATATACACGTCCACGGCCTTCACCTCCCGCACCTTCCGAGTTGAAGGTGCCTCGGGCCTGGCGAAAGGGGGGGATAGCAAAGGGGGGGGGTGAGAATCAGCTCACGTATAGCTGATTTCCCCGGCGCCTCCCGGCGCCAGAGGCGGCTATGTATCAAGGAATGGGCCCCTCGGTGGGGCCGAATCCAGCTGCATGCAGCTGATTTCGTACCCCCCCCTTTCCCAATCCCCCCCTTTCGTCCGGCCCGAGTGTCACGCTGCCGCGGCCTTCGCCGCAGCCGCAACGTCGGCCGCCGTCGAGGCCGCATCGCGGCAGCACCTTCCGCGCGGAAGGTCCAGAAGCTGCAGGTCGGGGGATATCCACGGCCTCGCGGGTGGGGCCCCTGGGCCGTCACCCCAATGGATAGCTGTGCGGCGTGCTTTCGCGGATGCCCCGCGCGGAACATGTACACGCGACCGCGCATCCAAGGTATGCCCCAGAATCCGGCCAGCGAGGGCGCGAAGATGGATATGTTCGCCGATCGTGGGTCCTCGTCCTCCTGCTCGAGCTGACCGAACGCGTCGGCGATTGGTATGTCGCGCTGGCGGTCGTCCGTCGCCTCGAAGTTGGTGCGCCAACGCATCCTGTCCTCGCCGCTGCCCTTCCTCGCGACCCGCAGCAGCTCGGCCCTTGCCGCTGGCCTCTGGGCCGCGGGCGCCTTCGACGGGGCCGCGGGCGCGTGCCAGAACCACGTGAGCATGGAGCGGAACCACGCGCCGGCGCCGCTGTCCTGAGCCGGGGCCGCCGCTGCGGCGGCTGCGGCCAGCGCCACCGCGGGGGCCGCGGCCGCCGCAGGCGGGGCGGCTGCCGGGGCGTCGAACGCGGAGCTGCCGGGCGGCGGCGCCTCGGCGCCGGCACCGTCCTCCTCGAAGCTCGCGGGCAGGGCGGGGAACGAGGCCCTGTCGCCCACCGAGGGCGCGGGCCCCTCGGGCACCGCGGGAGGACCCTGGGCAGGTGGCGGAGGCAGGCTGGCGTGGGGGGCCCGCGGCGCGTCCGAGGCGGCAACTCCGCCGCCTGGCGGTGCCTGGCCCACGTCGGAGAGGGCAGCCCGTGGCGCGCGGGCGGGGCGACGGCCCCAGTCCTGCTCCGCTCTGCCCGGCGCGCCCATGCGCGGAGGCCCGGCGGGCGCCGCGTGAGCGTGCCGTGCCCTGGGCCGCTCATGCGAGGGCATCGCCGCGCTTTCCAGGTGGACGTGAACCTCCCTCGCGGCCGCCGCCGCGGCGGCCCCTGCAGCATTGGCCGGCGCCGCGCCCGCGGCCGCCGGAGCGCGGGCGGCGTGGTGCCTCCGCTGGCGCTGCGCCGCGGCGGCCGCCGCGGGAATGGGCAGCGGCACCGCGGGCCTGGGCCCGGAACCGGCGCCGGGAGCCTCGTGGCCGAGAGCGGGAGGCGTCGGCAGGAGGGGCGGCGCATCCGGCTGAGCCTCCTGGCACGCAGGAGTGACCCTGGGCAAGAGTGGCCTCTGGTGCGCGACTTTCGGGGAGCGCGGAGCTGCCAAACCCGAGCGCGGAAGCTGCTGCTGTCGCATCGCATTCGGCCATCTGGGGGACCCCAGTATGCCCGCACCAAATTTGCAGCGAAAGGTCACTGTTACGTGCAGCCGATCCTTCTCCTCATCCCCCCACCTCCTGGGCATCAGCTTTCTGGGCTCCGCAACGGCAGGGGCCTCTGCAGCGGCGGCGTGGCCGGCCGGCCTCTGGGGCACCGCCCGCTCGGCCGCGGCGGCAGCGGGCGCCCCGTGCCGGCGAGGCAGCTTCAGCCTCGCACGGGCAGCAGCGCTCGCTGCCCTGGCATCCCCGGTGATGGCCAGCCTCGCGGCCCTGGGCAGCAAGCCCGTCGGCGCGCTGCGCGGCGCGGCTCTGGAGGGCGCGGCGTGCGCCAGGCCCTGGCTCAGGGCGGCACTGCTCTCTGGGCGCGCGGCCGCCACGACTCGACCTGCCTCCCTGGCCTCCTGGAGCTGGGAGGGGCCTCTGGCGCGGTCAGCCGGATGGCTGTGCGGCCCTGCCCGCGCCGATTCGGGGACTGCGGTGCCGTTGCGAGGGCCCCGCCAGGCCGGAGGCCCAGCGGTGGCCGCCTTGCCCGGCGCGTGCGCCGCCACGGCGGCCGTCGGGCGGTGGTCTGCCGAGGTGGCGCGACCCGCAGCGTCTGCCGTCGGGCGGGGGCCTGCCTGGGCCGCGGCGTGCGCTGACACGCCCGCCGCTGGCCCAGTGTCCACCTTGGCCGGAACGCGCGGCCCGGCACTGGCTGTCGCAGCGTGGCCCGCTCTGGCGAGAGCGTGCGCCTCTGCTGGGGGCTGCGACGGCCGAGCCGCTGGCTGTGCGCGGCCCGTGTTCGCAGCTGTCTGCGGAACGGGCGCCCCTGTGCCGCTGGCCGACTCTGCTCGGGCAGAGGTCCCGTCAGCCCCTGGGCGGCGAGCGTCCTCGGGTGGCAGGCTCCCTGCTGGGCGGCGTTCCACGTGCCTGGAAGCAGCCGGCGAAGACTTTGCTTTGCTCTCTGCACTTCTCACCTGGGCTGGCGCAGCTCCAGCCATCGAGTGATGGGCACCCTCGGCGTCTGGGCGTGCTGCTGTGCCACTCGCCCGTGCTCTGGCCACGTCCTCCAGAGGCGTGCCCTCTGCGGCCGCCGCTGGCACACCATTCGTCTCGCTACCCGCGCCTCGGCTGGCCGCCCAGCGAACATCAGCTTTGGCATGCGCCCGCGCCGCTGTGCCGGCCGCCGCCGAGGCGCGATGCTCCACCGCACGGCCCTTCCGCGGCCCAGTTCCAGCCCCGCCGGGCTGGCTCGCCGAAGCCACCGATGCCGCCGAGGCCCTCGTGCCTCCCCGCTCCTCCGCGCCAGCCGGCGCGCGCTCCCCCTCGGCGGCGGGGCGCGCCGCCAGGTGGCCCGCTGGCGGCGGTGGCGTGGCCGCCGGGGTCCGGCGAGCTGCGGGCGGCCTGCCAGTGGGAGGCTCGCCGGCCGCGGAGCCCCTGGCGGGGCCCGGCTCGGCGCCGCTGGCCGGCCGCTGCTCCGTGCGGCTCGGTCGCGGCTTGGCCACGGCCGCTGCCGCAGGCTTGCCCGTCGAGGCCAGCGGCGCCGCCGCAGGCGCCGTGCGGGCCGCCAGGTGCCGCACGGGAGCCGAGAAGCTTCTGCTCGTCGAGGCCGTCGGCGGCGCAGGCCTCTTCCTGCTCGCCTCCGCGGCGCTGTGCGCCGGGTGCTCCTCGGCACTTCTGCCTGGCGGCCCCGTCGCTGGTGTGGACGGGCTACCAAGCGCCCTGCTTGCGGCTGGGACCTTCACAGCCTGGCCGCTGCTGGCGCTCGTCACGACACGCCCGCCGCTCGCGTTGCCCACCGCCCCCGCGGTGGCCGGCGCAGCGCTCGCAGCGGCCGCGGCGGCGGGCACGACGATGACCACGGGGGCGGCCGCAGAAGCGGCCGTGGCGTTCTTGGCCGTGGACAGCTTCTGCTCGTCCTTGGCCAGCTTGCTCCTCAGGGCGGCCACTTCCGCCTCCAGCTGGCTCGCCTTCGCCTCGGCGGCCTTCGCTGCCTTCGCGGCCGCCTGCGCCTGCCGGGCAACGGCCGCCTCGCGCGCGGCCGCCTGCGAAGCGCTGGCCTCTACCTTCGTTGTGGAATTCACAGCTTCGACTGGGGCTCCGACCGCAGGCGTCACCGTAGCGTTGGCGGCGGTGGTGTTCAGGATGCTCGGGGCGCTCGCGTGGGGTGCACTCGCCCTCGAGAGGACCGAGCTGCTGGGCTCGGCACGGGTGGCGTTTGGCATCGGTGTCGTGGTGGCGGCCTTGGGACCGTCGCCGTCATCGCCGAGCAGCAGCCTGGCCATCGGCAGCTCCTCCACCTCCTTCTCTGGCAGCAGCTTCGTCGAGGCGTTCGCGGCGGGCCTCGCCGTGGCGTTCCCGGTGGCGTGAGCGGTGGCGTTCCGAGCCCCCGCCGCCGCCCTCGCCGCGTGCGTCCCCTCCGGCCTGGCGGCGGCCGGGGCCGCCTGCTGCGCGGCGGCCTTCGCCGGCGAGCCGGAGGCGTTGACGGCCGCCGCGGCGTGGGTCGGCGGGGCCGAGAACCACGAGTGGCTGCGGGCCTCCGTTGCGTTCCTGCCCCACACCTGGGGATGTACGGAAGAGGCACCGCGGTGCCTCTTCCGCTCCGCGATGCTCCGCTCCTCCCCGGACCTCTTCCCGGGCGCGTGCTGACCGGAACGTCGAGGCGAATCCAGTGGTGGCGACGAGGGCCTCCCAGGAGGCTCGAAAAAGGGAAAACGGGCGAAGGGTAGCGGTGTGTGTGTGTGTGTGTGTGTGTGTGTGTGTGTGTGTGTGTGTGTGCGCCTCTTCCTCCTCTGAACACCTCGCCAGTAGTCGAGGCCGCCCTCGGCGAGGCCACCGCAGCTGCCGAGGCCGCGGCCAGCGTGGAGTCCGCTGAGGCCTGCTCGGCGGGCACGAGGGCGTGAAACAACGGGGGAGGCGGGCTGCTGAGAGGGCGGGGGCCTCTTGAAGAGCCAGGGGCCTTCCCAAGGAGCACAACAAAAACTCCTTCAGAGTTGGCTGTTACCACTTTTTGCAACTGGCGTTTTCGCCCAGTTTCGGGCCCCAGGACCATGTTTCTGTTGCTCGCATCGTCCTTAAGGATCACATCCCAAAAATAATTTCGAGCGCCCCGAAAAGTATCAAAACAGTGTCGAACGAGTATCGCCTCCCAGGGCATGACACGAGAAAGCCCTCAAGTGTTGGTATTTTCCTGGTGCTCGACATTCTTCATGGTGGTCCAGGCTGAAGTAGGTTGGAACATCATAAGACCATGTTAGATCGATGCAGCTCGAGAAAGGACGCAGAAAGAGTGAGTCTAGGGACCCGAGCGTGATATTTCGCGATGGCCAATGGTTCTCGCAACTTCGGATCTCAGGGAAGGTGCTTCTAAGATAAGGCTTCTTTTGAGCAGTGGGAGCTCCGCGCGGAGCTCCTGGATCGGAGCTGGTCCCCCTTCCCTGGCGCGCTCCGCGCGCCATGGGGCGGCGCCAGAGGCGCCGCCAGGGGGGGCCCAGAACCCATGCAGAAAATCCGCGCGGAGCTCAGAAAGTGTCTGCTTATGCCTTTCCCAGACCCCAGGTCATGATTTGTACACGTCGCTCTCGCTCCCCAGAGATCTCGACCTACTCCCGGGGACCGGTTTTTCATCCTGAGTCGCTGTTTGACGGTCCTGGGGTCCTGTCTCAGGGCCCCCAGAGAACCTCCCGTCGTGATGCTTTCGCCTCGCGAGGGGGTCGGAGTCAGGGTGTTTTTTTTCCGACTCTCGGAGGACGGGCTGGCGTCTGAGAAGCCCCGCGTGCCCTCTCAGCTTCCCCACCCTTCTAATCGGGGGCGGCCAAGAGAGGGACGTCCAAGAGGGGGGGGGCGCAGATCATGGCCGGCGGCACGTGCGCGGCCCAAGGGGTGGCCAGGAACGCAATGATATCAAAGAAGCACCATGCAATCTCAACAAATATTATGGCCCACGCCATGATCTCCCCTCCCCGCCCAGTCATCATCCCCCCTCTTTGCCGCCCAGAGGGCTGCCTCCCTCGCACCCCTTTCGAGAGGCCGAGATAGAGAGAGAGAGAGAGAGACAGACAAAAAAAAACAAACAAATTACCCTGTGACGTACCCAACCCATTTGTATCATGGGAAACGAGGAGTTGGCCGAAACTTGCATGGACAATCGAATTGCAGGATCCGTTGTTTGATATGTAAGCTACTTGGGACACGCGCCTATGGTATGATGCGCAGGAGAACCATACAAGAACGAGGGGCGACAACTACAGGCTCGAAGAGGACATGGTAAGTCGGGAACGAAGAGCAGGAGAAAGACGCGCGGGAAGCCCACTGTGCTGGGCCCCCCAGCTGGCCTCGAAAGTGGCGACTGGCTCACAGATCGCAGCCCCCCAGGGATGGCAAGGCCTAATCTGAGTCCGCGGTGTGTACCCACTGTGCTGGGCCCCCCAGCAGGCCTCGAAAGTGGCGACAGTTTCACAGATCGCAGCCCCCCCAGGGACGGCGAGGTCTAATTTGAGTCCGCGGTGTGTACCCACTGTGCTGGGCCCCCCAGCAGGCCTCGAAAGTGGCGACCGTTTTACATATCGCAGCCCCCCAGGGATGGCGAGGTCCAATTTGAATCCGCCCTGGGTACCCACTGTGCTGGGCTCCCCAGCAGGCCTCGAAAGTGGCGACTGGTTCACAGATCGCAGCCCCCCAGGGATGGCGAGGTCCCATGTGAATCCGCCGTGGGTACCCACTGTGCTGGGCCCCCCAGCAGGCCTCGAAAGTGGCGACCGTTTCACAGATCGCAGCCCCCCGGGGATGGCGAGGTCTAATTTCAGTCTGCGGTGGGTACCCACTGTGCTGGGCCCCCCCAGCAGGCCTCGAAAGTGGCGACCGTTTTACATATCGCAGCCCCCCAGGGATGGCGAGG